CTCTGTTCCCTTTATCCTCTCTTGGTGTTAAACACGACTCACGCGGAATGACCGCTTTACGAAGCATGCCGAGCTTTGCCGATATTTTGCGCCCGATGTAGTCTATGTGGTCATTCCACGAGAGGTATGGATCGAGCAGAACGCCGACATACTTTATAGACTCGTGACAGGACAATGTCCCCCGCTCTGACTGTGCAACTATTAAAAAAAGTGGAAGAAGAAGCAAGGCTGATTATAACCTGAGATCAGGCTCAATTTCAGCAGTTCTCATACATTTTCTCTTACGAAGTCTCTTTTCGTTTCGCCTAGCCCGCCGGATAGGACCGATATTAGGGACTTTAAGATTCAACGACGCGGACGGCAACGAGAACGTCAAAAAGACAATTGGTTTAATAAGCAAAACAACAACTTTGCACATGCATCACGCTGTTTTTGTACATTTCTTTCCTGTTTTTGCACGACTACGACGTGAAAATGCCTAATTTTGCGTTTTATGGAGGACGTAAACAAGTAACGACGAAATTTCATTTCTCTTTCTAAACTTGGCTATGGTCCCTTGAAATTCAGCTTCAGGAGGGTTCGCCTACATTTGACAAAGTAAGTGGGTAGGAATAATCGTTATTGAGACTGAAGGAACGCAAATTCACATTTGAAGCGACGTTCTCGTTGCCGTCGCGTCGCTGGATCTTAAAGTCCCTATTACCAAGGACTCACAGTGCATAGAGAAAATTTCTCTGTTCTTGCTTCTAACTGTACGCTTTAGTAGGCCTACCCGGTTTTGCTTTATTTACTATTACATCCACCCAATTCGACACTTACTTACTAACTCACTTACTTACCGATCCTTATTTACTTGTGCTATAGTTTGTGTCCTAGTGTGTTTGTTTGTTTGTTTGTCATTTTTTTGTTTTTGAAGCGATCTGGGCTGGTTTTGCGATGCTGCCCTGTGCCACTAAGTCCGTTTGACTTTCATATGGAGAACTCGAAATGCTGTGATCCGTGAATTTCCGGTCTAGCATGACGCACGATCACCTAATTTTGAGACCCCTGATTCGTGGTTCTTTCGGAAAGTATTCGTAAAAAAACCGAATCGAATTTAGCTGCTAATATATCTATTCATATAGTGACCTACATTGTAACATGCCAAAGAATGATCTTGAACGCATTTTCTCAGGCTGGGCTAATGCGTTTCTAAGATTGTTTTAAAGCTTTACTCGCAATCTTGTCAACGCTTAGAAAAAACATGAACTGAAACCGGACGAGACCTGACACTAACTGATTGTAGTCCTGGAGATAATTTTCAGCAATAATGGATGTTAGATACATGATTCGTGATATATATGAAGGAAAGCAGGGTCCTTATTCGGGACTGGCACCTCCATTCATTGGCTAATTGAGGGATTAAGTAGACTTGTTTAGACACATATTTAATGTATAAATTAAATTGAAAGAGAGATCTTCATTTACAAAAAACGTCAAATTAGTATATTTACAGTGGTCAATCTCTTCACGTTATAAAGTTTCAAACTGATTACAATTTGCTAATTTGCTTCTTAACTAATAGAATAGAGTGATTTATACAACTTTATTTTAGCAAAAATCACTAGGAAACTGGAGCGGAACCTGATAGCATGCATGAGATCAGGATGTCTGTAGCGCAAAGTATTATTAGTAGTGTTTTAAACTGAGGGGTAAAGAGCACTGTTCATTTGTCAGAATTGACCAGCAGCCAGACCGCTCCCGTGGTAATGAGAAAAAGGTAATGTAAAGGCGCACATGAGCCCAAGGCCCACACGACTGGAGCTTATACTGGTTTCCGTAGCATGAAGCAAGCCTAGGAGTATTGCTACTCCCCCACTGGACGCGATGCTAGTCCATTGCAGGGTTATAAATATCATGGTGTTGAAATAGATCAATCATTAACTTGGAGAGATCATGTAGACAAAATTGCTAAGAAAGCTTCTGGAGGGATTGGAGTTCTGAGACGTGTAAGGCATCTCATACCGTATCATACATTAATTACGATATTCAAATCCATTGTACTATCGTATTTCGATTATTGTAGTATAGTGTGGGGGAGCTGTGGGGAAGGGATGCGTTACAGACTCCAGACCCTCCAAAACAGAGCTGCCAGAGTGGTAACTTCGTCTAGTTACGATAGGCGATCAGTTGAGATACTGGATGAACTTGGGTGGGATAATCTTGAGACACAAAGGACAAGGCAATTAGCCACAATAATGTATAAATTGAAAAATCACATTGCACCAGACCATTTGGCTCCAATTTTTAATGGTAAAAACTCTATGTACTCCTATAATCTAAAGAACTCAAAATATAATTTGCTTGTACCAAGACTGTATACTGAGGCTGAAAAAGACAGCTTCCACTATAGAGGGGCGGTTCTCAGGAAAAGTCTATCAAACGCTGTTAAAGGGCAGACAAGCTTTAAGTTATTTCTCTCACATTTGAAATTTTAGAACCATTTTAATAACTATACCTACGTAATGTTATTTTATTGCATGATTTTTGCACGGCTCTCTGGAAGAGCATTTTTATGAATGAGATTCCGTGATTAAATAAAAAGACTCTCACTAAGTAGGTAGAATGACATATTCTTTTAAAACCTAACTAATTTTACTATGACCTATAAACAGGGGTCTTTTTTGCATGAGCATGCGCGACCGCTGACTTGTCAAAGAGCACGCGACCAGTGACAGCGACCGTGCTGCATAGTCATAGGAACCAAATTGTTCACTTTGAAAGCTTGCTTGAGTTTGAAATGGTAGCAGGAACTTAGGAAAGACCTTCGTTGTACAAAATAAGTAAAGATCTGTTGATTTAAAGTGGATACTGATGCGCTGAACGAGGTGAAAGAGCAAGTTTCTCAAGGATGTCTGACACGAACATGGCTGCTTGTTGTTGTTTGGCGCTCGACTCGTGTCTTGATTCCCCTTTAAGAACCGCAAAGTTTGGCATAGAATGCATTGCTGATGCATAGCTATTGAGCAAAATGTTCTGTATTTAGTGTTTGTCAATAAAGCGGATGTAAATCAGTTTCTCGATGCCGTAGAGGATTTCTGTCAATCATTTGTTAACAGCTGATTTAGCCATATTTCGGGAGTGGATTAATAACGATCAGCGGGCGACTAACACGCCGTTTTCAGTTGGAATAGAGAGTTTTTGCCTTAAGTATTTTAGCGATACAAAGTTTGTTTATAGGAAAATTGTAGAACTTCTTGTTTTTGTGTGGACCAACATTGTAACGCATCTTTTACAGGAATTTGCTTTTGGCCAGAACTTAAATGTTCTAATGATTTTTAACTTTTGGTCGGCATCACATGTTTAGTGTCCTTCTTGGGAAACCTAACCGTTTGTTTCATCAAAATCGGTCACAAGATTGGACTTGAATTTCGGTCCTATTGAATGCAGTTTTGACTGTGTCTCATTGATATTCATTTTTTTTTTTGTTCGAGACATACAGAGTGACTACCACCAACATCTCACCAGGTGACTCATCTACGTCTCTTGTGCTCTTAATTTTGTAGCTTTAAAGTGCTAGGAAAATTGTAGAACATATATTAATTCACTGCTAAACTGAACATCGGCTTTCGCGCACTTCGAACACACTCGATGAAATTTGCTATGTTTTTTTTTAATATTTCTCTTCCTTTCCCATTTCAAAACAAAGAAAATTGAAAGTGTTTACTTGCATCAACAAATGTTTCTGCACTTTGTTTAGGCTTAGATGAGGTGAGCGCAATACTCCAGGCACTAAATATACGCGCGCTGTTGTCCAGGTCAAGTGGGGAGATGAAATTTGATAGTAGCTCGTGTATGTTAAAGCCTTCGCTTTTGTTCAGACCATGTTAGAGTTTTGCAAAATAAACATTTTGTTAAATCACGAGCACATTCGCCAAAACCAACGAGCAAAATAATCGCTATGATAGCTTTGAGACGCGCCATTTTGATGAGGGCAAACCCTGTGGTGAGCCTACATGCACATCGCTTGTTCTTCGGTCGCGCATGCTCATGCAAAAAAGACCCCTGTTTGACCTATATATATTACTTGATGTACCAAAATAGAGGCAGTGGCCTAGATAAGATATTAACATACAATGGTAAGAAAATACTCTAATAAAGTAATTCTACTATATTTTTAAAATACTTACATAGTATGATAAAGAATTGGTGTTCCCCAGCGACGAGGCATAATTAGAGGCTTCTAACACGTATTCGCAAGCTAGATAAGGATTGCTGTCATTCAGAAATTAGTCTTAAACATTAATAACATGTCAATGAAAGAGTTATTCGAGGCTGAAATTATTTACTGATTGATAAAAGCGCATCGGAAACAGGAATAATTCTTAAAAAACAAACTCGATTAGAAAAGTCTTTGACTAAGTTCTGTGGTAAGGAATATCTTAAAAAAGGATTGATCCTATACGAACAAATTCTTCTCAGTACGGAAAGCGACACTGAATATTTTCAGAGACTGCAGGCAAGGAACAGCTGGAGAAAAACTTGCTCGTAACATCTAAATGCTAATGAAATTGCTAAAAAACATTTTGACCTGTATACTTACAGACGTTAAAACCGAGTGTTCACGCACACTTCAACCATAGTAATAATCATCAGCGATATGACTCAAAGAGAGAGAAACTAGGTAATCATTAGTAGGCGTATTTTCCAAGGATTTTTACAACAACAGGCTCTAATGGTTGAGTATTTACAGGGGACTGCAGGCGATGTGGTGGCCCTAAAAACCAAGTTCTATTAAATACACTACAGTAATTTATTTAGGTATTTGAGGGGGCTGCATGAATTTTTTTTGGCAGAAAATTTTTTGTAATGAATATTTTACTTAGTCTATTGAAACGGCTAATTGTACCGTCATAAAAAAATGACGAAATAAAAACTGTACACTTGAAAAATAGAAGTCTTGTTTCTTGCCAACATCTTTCAAATAAGGTACCACAAGCAACTCTTGAATCGCAGTATAATCAGACATCTTTACTTCGGTTATGTGGAATAAGGCTAACATAGTGAAGCTCGTGCAAGTGACCCAGCACAAGCCGGTTGCTACCAGTAACATCAAACTCTGGGCAGATCATTACGTCATGGCGATGCTGCAGACTGCTCATCACGTGGATGCACGTTTGAAAACAGTTTGCCGCGCCGTGTAGAATCAGGTGATCACCCCATGTACCATCTGCCATCATGCTTGAGAGGTAGGCATCCCAAGATGGATATCCATCAACAAAATGAAACAGTTCTGTCCCATCCGGCTGTAAGAAAGAAAGAAAATACTATAGTTAATGCAAAAAAGTGGAGTGCTTTGGTAGAAGGTATATATTCAGGCAGCTGCCCTGTCAGCTCTCTCTAAGACGGACCCCACTGATTTCTACACTAGACGAGATATCTCAGCTTAAGCAGTATAGGACGCACCCATTAGACACCTTTTTTGAAGTGGAATAAATTAACGTCGATGATCTCCTTAGCTCATTTGCGCGCCAAGAATCAGTGAACCGGAACCAGAACAATAAAGCTATGCTCATACTATACCGGATAACCTTTTGTGACGATACGAGAAGCCATCCGTTATAGAGTGACCGTCTATCCGATATGTGACTCTCCACTTAAGAGATCGGCGCGTTAAAGAAATCGCGCCGAAATCACCGTTCTCATGTGTGAACTGAAACCCCATCCAGTATTATTCTCGTGCCCGCGAAAACGCTATACCGTATAGTGTGAAGACAGCCCAAGATGTCTGCAATGGACAATGAGGGCATCGTGGTTCAGTGATTTTAAGTCAGAGGTTGTCGTCTTGACCAAATAAAGACATGACACACATAATTTAAAATGACCTACGACATCATTCTCACAAAATAAGGACAAGATCCCAACAAGTTACATCATCAATATAAGAATTAATGGATATACTAAATACTACATAAAAATAGCTCGTGACGTTATCTTGATGAGATTCCACCGCATTTTATTGCTGAGATAAAGATTTCATATCATCGACGTTAATTTATTCCACTTCCAAGTAATAAGATTCGACTACAAAAACGGGTCTAACCTGTTTGACCTATACTACTCCCCTTAAAAATGTCAAAAAAAAAACAACAGGTGAGAACGGCAAGGACCAATTCTTTTAGGGAGGTGGAGTAGGTTTAGGAGGTTTTAGGAAAGGTGTCGAGGTGTAGGGATGTTTACTGTTAAAATAATGTGAGTTTGCAAATTGCGACTTTTAAACCAGTATGCAGACATATCCTGTTCACACAAAACTGGTGTTGGTCGACATTTCAAGTTTAGCAATATACCGTACAGTTAAAAAATAAATTAGGACATGAGCATGACGATCGAGCCGACAAATACAGATAAAAAAAATTTCTCCGTATCCATTTATGCCTCCGACTCGAAACGTAACTTGGGAAAAGAATTCGCGTTCTCTCAAACTTTATCGCGCTTATTTATCCATGCGTAATTTAACATAAGTCGACGAATTTTCTTAGATTTGAGTTCTTAATGACTGTATCCCAGCCCGAAAACAATAATTCACTGTCGGTGGTTCGGTGCCCTACACAAAACGTCGCATACGGACGTTTTGCGTCGCACTCGTGCAGTGAACGACGAAGCAAAGTACAAACAAGCGTGGTGCTCATGCAGAGCTGATGTTTTACTCGTAAAGGGTGGATTCATTTGCAGCAAACCCGTACAGCCGTCACATTCAATTGCAGGAATTTGAGGCCCCTTCCACACGTATCCGGATATATATATTTTTTTAAATCGGAGATTTATTTGTCCATTTTAGCCTTCCGTCCACACGTGATCGGCATTTCTGGGCGACGAAGAAGCAGGTTTTCACAAATGGTCCCAAGAATGGAGATTTTATAAAACCAATTGCGTATGGACGAATACAGAGAATTTAGAATACAACATTGCGCATGCTCTGTAAAGGGATGCTATCGTATCTCAATCATTTTAGCGTTTTTAGGTGCACGGGCGAAAAATAATCAAATAGGCTACGTGTGGACGCGTTTTTCGGATACGTGTGGACAGGGCCTTATTGTTTTAAACTTTAAAAAATGTAGCGGGCAAAAGAGACGAGTATGCGAGTATACTGCAAATGTGTGCACCCTAGAAATAATAAACAATAAGGTACGTACCAGCCTGGGGTTTTCCCGAAGGTGTTGAACAATAGTTCGACGTAACTCATCATGGGACGTTTGAATTCCTTTGATGAGGTCAAGCTGCTCTGAAAGTGCAAAAAACATGCAGTTTCCTTTTCCTTGATTGTCAGAAATCGCAAAACCTTTTTCCAAGGCAATTCTCTTTAAAGCCTGCGAAAGCTCAGTTTTGCTGGACTCTCTGCGTGCTTCCAGCAGGATTTGTTGAAGTGCACGGAAAATGGGTTCACCTAAAAGCAGAAGATGAAAAAGACAAAATAAGATAGAGGTTATTTCACGCCAGTTTAATAGGAGATGGTGCTAACGATAATGATGATGATAAAGATTTTGTATAGCGCTGGAACTATAAAAATTCAAATGCGCTTAACATTAAGTTGCAATTAAAAAAATTCCTAAACAGCTGATAATAACAATAATAATAATAATAATAATTTTATTGACAACAATGCTAACAATTTACAATTATTTATTTACAATTAATTCGCCTGAAAAAAAGAAAAATCTATTCATTCAAAACACTATTTATAATAATAAAATCTATGCTATGCTAAAATCTAAAAAATAAAAGTCTAAAATTCTAACAAAGTTAAACTAAACGTCAGAGTTATCCTAATAAATTATAAGCTTTCCTAAAAAGAAATGTTTTAAGATGCTTTTTAAAGATGGCGAGGCTGCTACTTGTTGTTATAGTTAATGGCAGCGAGTTCCATAAAACAGGTGCAGCATGGGCACTGGTCTGAAGCTTAAAACAGTCGACAATTTCAGAAAAATTACTGTGGTTTTAAAAGAACAAAGTAACTTCACTCTACTGCAAAAATATATTTTGGCTTTGGTTTAATTGGCAAAGCAAACAATGACATCACCTGCCATCGGTCCTGTTGCAGCATCTTTTTCAAAACCATTCTGTGGGACGTCATCTTCTCGGGTTTTTTCAACACCTGTAAAGTTTAAAATTAGCAGCGAATTTAAATGGCTTGGCCTGTAAGCAGGAGAGGGAAACAGTGATTTTACGTCAGTTTACTCGGAGATGCTACACTAAACATTGAAAAGCTAAAAGCATCCTAATAATCGAAAGCACCCTTGTTCAACAGAAGAAAATAGCCGCACTCTACTGCAAAATAAATTTTGTTTTTGCTTTAATTGACAAAGCAAACAATTACATTACCCGCCATCGGTCCTGTGGCAGCAACTTTTTCACAGTCGTTCGGTGGAAAGTCACCTTCTTTGGTTTTTTCAAGACCTGTAAATTTAAAAAAGTGTTGATTAAAACAAAAAATATCTCTCTTAAAAAAGGAAGATTCCAACCTTAAAAGCCCTCCATTCATTTTTTGTTATAAGTTATAAGCCAAAAGTTTGGCTGGGCTTTTTTTGTTACTTTCTTTTTACATACAAGAGAACCCCACCATTGCTACTGCAGATGAATAGAAAACAGATAACTTTGATGTATCGCAATGTTATAGATTTTAATTTTCTTTTATCGTTAAGTCCTTCAAGTGTAGCCAACATTTTATAAAATTATACATAAAAGTTTTAAAGAATGGAATTGATAAGCCGGTAAAAAAGATCTTGATTATTAAACAAATTCTCCTCATCAGTAACACAAGATATGTATGGAGAACAGTGTGGAGAGTGTGAATGCTAACATTAAGGTTAAAAAGGTTAACAACAACATTTCTACAGCGATGCACATGGACCACGAAACATAACGTAGTAAAAATGTATTTATGCACTGGCTGTTGCTGAAGCAATGGACATACAGCAATGAATGATGAAGGTCAAATGAAGGATAATCCTGATAAGATATGCCTTTTAACATTTTCAAGTACTTATTATTTTTATTATTGTTACTTTCCTATCGGTAAATTTGATTTCTTACCATAGACCATCCTCCACATCCTGGCAACAAGGGCCTGGCACTGTCCCTCCCAACTGAATCTTTCATCATAAGTTCTTCGCAGTCTTTGGATTTCCTCAAGCCGCTGTGTCCTTGAGTTTTGACGGATGGCTGCAATTGCCTTTGCCCATTCCTTGGGGTCATCAGAGTCGATCACAAATGACTCACCCATTGGAAGACCACGCAGTGCTTTTCCAATTCCAGAGTTTCCACTTACCAAAATGGGAAGACCAGCTGACATGGCCTCCAATGCTGTCAAACCAAACCCCTCAGTTCTTGATGGCATAATGGCCAGGTCGACTTCACAAAACAACTCTCTCAATCTTTGCTTGTCTTTTACAAATGATCTAACAATCAGCTGGTTCTTTGAAATGCCAGTCTGGAGTAAGATTTCTGCGACTTCATCCTGCCTTCCCTGGGATGCACCAACGAAAAGAAGACTATAGGAACTGTCCTTCAATTCAACTATGGAGTGNTCCTTCAAGTGTAGCCAACATTTTATAAAATTATACATAAAAGTTTTAAAGAATGGAATTGATAAGCCGGTAAAAAAGATCTTGATTATTAAACAAATTCTCCTCATCAGTAACACAAGATATGTATGGAGAACAGTGTGGAGAGTGTGAATGCTAACATTAAGGTTAAAAAGGTTAACAACAACATTTCTACAGCGATGCACATGGACCACGAAACATAACGTAGTAAAAATGTATTTATGCACTGGCTGTTGCTGAAGCAATGGACATACAGCAATGAATGATGAAGGTCAAATGAAGGATAATCCTGATAAGATATGCCTTTTAACATTTTCAAGTACTTATTATTTTTATTATTGTTACTTTCCTATCGGTAAATTTGATTTCTTACCATAGACCATCCTCCACATCCTGGCAACAAGGGCCTGGCACTGTCCCTCCCAACTGAATCTTTCATCATAAGTTCTTCGCAGTCTTTGGATTTCCTCAAGCCGCTGTGTCCTTGAGTTTTGACGGATGGCTGCAATTGCCTTTGCCCATTCCTTGGGGTCATCAGAGTCGATCACAAATGACTCACCCATTGGAAGACCACGCAGTGCTTTTCCAATTCCAGAGTTTCCACTTACCAAAATGGGAAGACCAGCTGACATGGCCTCCAATGCTGTCAAACCAAACCCCTCAGTTCTTGATGGCATAATGGCCAGGTCGACTTCACAAAACAACTCTCTCAATCTTTGCTTGTCTTTTACAAATGATCTAACAATCAGCTGGTTCTTTGAAATGCCAGTCTGGAGTAAGATTTCTGCGACTTCATCCTGCCTTCCCTGGGATGCACCAACGAAAAGAAGACTATAGGAACTGTCCTTCAATTCAACTATGGAGTGAGCGGCAATATCGTATCCTTTTAGACTAAAGTCTTCCAAATCACCGCGACCAAAGGTCAATACTCGGAAATTTACACCATCTTGCGCAGCATGTTCAATATCTGAAAACTCTGCAAAGGAACCTGGTATTAACTGAAAGATATCTCGATGAGATGAGCGCAACTTGCACGAGAACGCTTCTTTCAACTTGGGTCCAACGGCAACAACGAGATCTGCAATTTGACAAAGGTCAACTTCAGCTCTGTTCTTCCCCTCTCCCTTGGCAATGGCGCTTGGATAATTCTTATGCATCGCCAGTTCTTCAGGCTCAGTGTGAACAACCTGCACCCACTTGCATCGATGAGACTTTCTGATAATTTGCGATTGTCTACCAAGCTTTGTTTCATGGCCGATTACAACCTGAATGTCTAGGTCTTCTGGTGGAACGATCAACCAGTCAAGAGGATCACTGAAGCCAGGAAGACGCTCTGCTTCCCTGATGGAAATGTTGTGACTTTTGGCCGTTCTCTTTTCTTTTTCTCCACACTGAAATTCAGGTACAAGGATAGTGACTTCTACGTGTGGGTCTTTTGCCAAATGTATGGCAAGAGTCCTGTTTATTGTTGACAAACCACCCTTAGACGACCCCCATTCGTTCGCCAGGAGGGTAACTTTCAATATTAAACCCTCTGAATGACCTTGTGCAGCATGAGATGATGATGAAGAAGAAGTACACACGTCCTATATAGAAACCAAAATTGCATATTTCAAGGTAGAAAATCTACATCTGGGGTTTCTTTGCAAAACATGACATCATCAACAGCAAAACAAACACTGAAAGGATGATCTTTTCTGAACTGAGGGGGACATGGGGGTTTACGGTATTGCGATATTGAGATTTTTTTCAAGCGGTATTTCGGTAATTTTGATTTTAACGTGCGGTATTGCGGTATCACCCAGCCCTGCGGTATTTCATCCTTCTGGCTAACGGTATTCGGCCTCTTCTGTGTAATGTAGGTCAATATTTGGAAGACTTTATACTTAACGGTAAATGAATACACAATTTCTAACAGTTACTCTATGATGTGGTAGGACATCCAATGACCTGACTTTTCGATCGTTGTATCGATCAATTCGAGATCTTGTCATGTTTTCTCGCGAAGGCTGAGGTTGATTTCTGGTGTATAAATGCTTGAGATAAAAAAAAAAACACGCGAGATGGATACAACGTTATAAGTAAGGGTCACCGATGATAAATGCGGTATCGGTATTTCGTCCATTTTCGACACGGTATTTCGGTATTTGCCAATTTTTCATACGGTATTGCGGTATTGGGTACCCTTCAGTGCCCCCCTCTGAACTGTGCACACAAATCCCCCCCCCCCAAAAAAAAAGCTTGAGAAACGTTTATGAATGCACACTGTTATGCACCTGCAGTAGGTATTTAAGGCTAGCCATTTGTCGGGGCAAAGAGCTAAAAAAAATTGAATAGAACTTTGAGTCATATATGCTAGCCAACTGGCCTTATCAAATTACTTGATTTTCAGTACTATTGTTTGCTTCTTTTTACCCAGCGAGAGTCTTGGTAGAATAAATGAAGGCCTACGTAGTACATTATTATAATCTAATAATGACACACAAACTTTGTTGAAGCTTTTTTAAGTATAGAAGTCCAGAACGCAATTGCTGGTAAGGACTATGAAGGACATGTGGGGCGGCCTAGATGACTAGCCTTTCAGTGACATAATATTAATTTAGTAGCAATATAACTTTCCATTTACATGTAACATGCTAACAGCACTGATAGAGATGGAATTTCAGTGCTACCTACCTTGCTTGGAAGCTGTGAGAACCATTTTTGCATTCCTGTGACTGTGAGTAGTTCATGTGTAGGTTTCTTTTTGCAAATCAGATGAACGCCTTGTCTTACCTCAAGGAGGTGAAGACAATCTTCATGAGAACATGCAATTTGATTATGGCTTGAGCATTTTTCCCGCTGACAATACGGACAGGCGACCCGAATATGATACTGCAATCCACCTTTATAGAGATCACGTGACAAAGATTGCAATGTTGCCTCCAGAAACTCACGAACCTGAACTGCCGCCTCACTTGTGTCATCCACAGAGATCTGCTGAGGTTGGGTTCTTTGTCTGATAAAAAACTCAATAAACTTCTTCTTACAAATAAGAACAAAATCATGAACAGTCTGTTTCCCAATAACAAACCACGCTCCATTTTGGTACAGGGTAGGGAGCTGAGTTGGACCAGCCTCAGAACACCAACGAACAGATCGAGAAACAAGCCGGGTGAACAGACCATGGGGAACAGAACCGCTGACAAAGTCAACATACAGGGGACAAGGGTCAACGGTTGTGGGCGCCATGGAACAAAGGGAATCAGGCGACGGTTTGAGTTGAGATGGAACAAAGTATTTTTCTCCTGTCTTTGAAGATGAAAATTTTGCAATCAAACCAAAGTGTTCCATCAAATCCAGAATGTTTTTCCTAGCAACGCCCTTCAGAAGAAATTTGGAAAACACATGATCAAGCAGTTCCATGCTGAGAACACCGCTTTTTTCGACTTCTTTCCAGTGCTTTGCAAACTTAGGGACCTAAGACGGAATAACACGAGGAATGATCACAAAACTTTTCAAAATAGCTTTCTTGTGGGACCATTTTACACTTCTAAATTATTACACTAATAAGGTTTTAGTAAGTCTACAAAAAGAAATAAGATATTTAACATTCTAAGTAAACATTCGAGCAACAAGTTTCTTCTTGCAATTTGCGGATTTGTGTGAGAACGCATATAAAATGGCAATTACGAAAGACTGCCAAGAAAGTACAACTGTAAATAAATTTCTCTGGGGGGCGAAAAAAGAGCATAGCCTTCTAAGCAGACCTCAGATTTTAAACCTTTATTACGCTCGTTAAAGCGCCACGTAAATGGCAACATCCTCCATCCTGTGTACTCGCCGGAGAATTCTTACGGTCCAAATTTCACTTCCAGAACCTGACAGTGCGTTCTGATTGGTCGACATAAACAGTTACTGGTTTCAGCAAACGTATATATGTCTTTCCACTCTGCTTTGTTGTGAGACGTTCCTTTAATAGTGCATTTGAGGATAATTGCAGGTAAATTGGTTATTAGCAGCTCTTATTGTTAGTGGGCAACAAGTGATGCGGTATACAGACGTGTGTGAGAGGGGAAGCTTTTGGGGAGACAATCTTTAATTACTCATAGCGGAATTTCGACGATGGCAGGAGCCTAATATGTTGACACTGATTTCACAATTGCTTTTACTTACTTTCACTGCACACCTTTAAAGGTAGATTTTTCTCATCACACGTACGTCCTCATCATAAATGGGATTGTGTTGAATCCATGATTTCAGGGGTTACCAATCGATATAGCTTGCGAATGCAGACGTATTTTGGAAATACGTCTGCATCCATTGCCATAGTTTAAAAACAAGTTTATTATCTATATCTTACAATTTTCTTTAAGTCTGGAATAGTGATCAACTGCCCGAACAAGTCTATCAGCCACTTGGCACTCAAGATGACTGTGCTACGGTGCTTGATAATTATTCCTAGGTCATGATAGAAATTCACCATGGTGGTAAACCCTTCCTCATCATCGATGAAGCACTTTTCCTTGGCATGGGTCCGTAGCTTCGTTATACTCAGGTAATAAACTGGCTTGGAAAGTAAAGCGTTAATGACCTTCTCAAAGTGCACCCATCTAGTTAATAAAAGCAAAGAGAAAATTCATAGCGCGCGTTAAAATATCCATGTCACGACACAGTATAACTGTACTGGCTAAAGTACAGTGTCCAGTTGTACGAAAGGTGTAACCACTGGATAAAAATCAGTGTGATCCACAGTGCTTCTTGTTCAATTCGTAATAAGGTTATCAAACCCTTTAGAGTAGAATATTCGTTAAGGCCAATCAAAACTGCTTTTCATAGTGAACTTGTTTCAAACAAAGAGATATCCATAGGTGGCTCATGATGGAATCACTCAATTTTTTTTCTGTTCTCGCTGTATTTTTTTAACGAAAGTAAAGGACTAACAATGAACCAGAAACCTTTGCCAGCCGACAAATGAAGAAAATATAATACAAAAACAACTCCGAAAAATATCTTCCTAACTTAAAATTTAAGCCGGTATAATCAAGAATTGACACAAAATAAATAAACGGAATATTTCGGTTTTTATTTCAAGACCATTATCAAACGTGAAATACAAGATGGAAAAGCGCTGAACTTATAAAGAGAGCTAGCCACAAAGGTATGACTGAGTATTAACAAAGCAATAATTGTGACAAGAATGTGGAGGAAAGTATAACAAAAATGCTGAAATTCAAATTAAACTTAAAGCTAAAACAATACAGGCTCTTGGCAGCTATGATGCCGTAGTTAAGTTGAGGTATGTACCTCTTAATTAATAAAGATTCCAGAAAACATAATTGGTTATAGTTGTTGTTGCATGCAATAATTGTTGCGTTATTCAAAATAGTTTGGTGAACGTGGGAAGTGAAATTAAGGGGGTGTTTACATGACATCGGGGCGACTTTCGCGCCGGAGCGAGTCTCCATCTTATGTCCAGGATCGATCTTGTTAGCAAAAATTTGCAACTTGTATTCGCAATTTTAGCAAAAAAGATTTAAAGAAAACTGCTATCAGAAAAATATAGAAGAAATAGCAAATTTCGCAAAAATCGCAAAAGTAACGGGAATTTTCCTTGCTAAGTGAAAAGATTGAGTAACAAATGTAGCAAAAATAGCAAGAATAACAAATTTAGCGAAATACTACACTTAGAAAGAGAAAAGGTCAAGAAGGGCTTCGAGATGTCCGCAAATTTCCCAAAAATCGCAAAAGTAACAAGAATTTTTCTTCCTATGTGAAAATCTTGAGCAACAAATATGGCAAAAATAGCAAGAACCACAAATTTCACAAAATTCTACACTTGGAAAGAGGAAAAGTCAAGAACGGCTTCGAGATGTCCGCAAATTTCGCAAAAATCGCAAAAGTAACAAGAATGTTTCATTCTATGTGAAACGACTGAGCAACAAATATGGTAAAAATAGCAAGAATAACAAATTTCACAAAATTCGACACTTAGATAGAGAAAAGGTCAAGAAGGGCTTCGAGATGTCCGCAAATTTTGCAAAAATCGCAAAAGTAACAAGAATTTTTCTTCCTATGTGAAAATTTTGACCAACAAATATGGCAAAAATAGCAAGAATAACAAATTTAACGAAATACCACACTTACAAAGAGAAAAGGTCAAGAAGGGCTTCGAGATGTCCGCAAATGTCGCAAAAATCGCAAAAGTAACAAGAATTTTTCTTCCTATGCGAAAATTTTGAGCAACAAATATGGCAAAAATAGCAAGAATAACAAATTTAACGAAATACTACACTTAGAAAGAGAAAAGGTCAAGAAGGGCTTTGAGATGTCCGCAAATGTCGCAAAAATCGCAAAAGTAACAAGAATTTTTCTTCCTATGTGAAAATTTTGAGCAACAAATATGGCAAAAATAGCAAGAATAACAAATTTCACAAAATTCTACACTTGGAAAGAGGAAAGGTCAAGAAGGGCTTCCGTTAGTCTGCAAATTTCGCAAAAATCGCAAAAGTAACAAGAAGTTTCCCTGCTATGTGAAAGGATTAAGCAACAAGTATGGCAAAAATAGCAAGAATAACAAATTTCACAAAATTCTACACTTGGAAAGTGGAAAGGTCAAGAGGGGTTTCAGAGAGTCCGCAAATTTCGCAAAAATCGCAAAAGTAACAAGAATTTTTCACGCTATGTGAAAAGATTGAGCAACAAATATGGCAAAAATAGAAAGAATAACAAATTTCACAAAATTCTACACTTGGAAAGAGGAAAGGTCAAGAAGGGATTCCGTTAGTCTGCAAATTTCGCAAAAATCGCAAAAGTAACAAAAAAGTTTCCCTGCTATGTGAAAAGATCAAGCAACAATTATGGCAAAAATAGAAAGAATAACAAATTTCACAAATTCTACACTTGGAAAGAGGAAAGGTCAAGAAAGGATTCAAGATGTCAGCTATTTCGCAACGTTCTTGTCCAGTAATTTTGTAATGCATTCCATTTTCGCGAAAATGAAATCATCAGTTACAAACGTGACACTATTTATAATTACTGACAGTAGCAAAATACTGTAATATCAATCTGTGTATGCTTCGTTCTTCCATCAACATACAGCTACAATGCATAGAAAGGAGTGTCGCTCACAGAAGGGGGCAAATTTTCAGCAGTAAAAGGGGGCGGTTAACAATCGTTCCAAAATATCAAGAATAGCAGATTGGGGAAAAGTAAACGGGTCATAAGATTCGCGCATTATACATGAATGTTGCGGTGCAATAACCATAGATTTTTAAACAGGGATTGCCGAAAGTAACAAGAATTTTACTGCTATGTGAGACGATTTAGTAACAAATATGGCAANTTCTACACTTGGAAAGAGGAAAGGTCAAGAAAGGATTCAAGATGTCAGCTATTTCGCAACGTTCTTGTCCAGTAATTTTGTAATGCATTCCATTTTCGCGAAAATGAAATCATCAGTTACAAACGTGACACTATTTATAATTACTGACAGTAGCAAAATACTGTAATATCAATCTGTGTATGCTTCGTTCTTCCATCAACATACAGCTACAATGCATAGAAAGGAGTGTCGCTCACAGAAGGGGGCAAATTTTCAGCAGTAAAAGGGGGCGGTTAACAATCGTTCCAAAATATCAAGAATAGCAGATTGGGGAAAAGTAAACGGGTCATAAGATTCGCGCATTATACATGAATGTTGCGGTGCAATAACCATAGATTTTTAAACAGGGATTGCCGAAAGTAACAAGAATTTTACTGCTATGTGAGACGATTTAGTAACAAATATGGCAAAATGCCACAAATTGGGCTAGAGTAACAAGAATAGGCAAGAATTGTTGAAGGGCAATAAAGGGGCCAAGAACACCCACGCATCACTGTTTTTCCCTAATAGTAATGGTTATCTTAACTAGAATACGTTCTTGTCCAGTAATTTTGTAATGCGTTTCATTTTCGCGAAAATGAAATCATCAGTTACAAACGTGACTCTATTTATAATTACTGACAGTAGCAAAATACTGTAATGTCAATCTGTGTCTGCTTCGTTCTTCCATCAACATACAGCTACAATGCATAAAAAGGAGTGCCGCCCACAGAAGGGGGCAAATTTTCAGCAATAAAAGGGGGTTGTAGCAGAACTTTTCATGCCCAAGAACCCACCGTAACAATCGTTCCAAAATGTCAAGAATAGCACATTGGGGGAAAGAAAGCAGGCATTATACATAAATGTACACAACAATTCATTCCATTATCGTAGATCTTTTCTTCTACCAGAAGAAATAAGAAGTCATACAACTCAATTTAGCCATTTTAAGATATATGCACACTTGGAGATGGAATATTTTAGCTTATGCATGTTTCAAACTAATCATGCCTGTAATTAATGTGATCAAACACTTTTGTTATACATTCATAGTTCCTGTTAGAAATTGCGTAAACACAAAACGTTTCCCACCTTATATTTTAAATTGAGTCGGTAATTAGTAATAAAAAATTACCATAAAATTCAAATACTTGGTCATTGCTTTATCACAAATCTCTATGGGAAAATTTTATTGAACCGGGGTAAGTAAGGGTACTCGCCACTGCTGTTAATTATACAACCCCAATAAAGACCTTACTATCCGTGTTTGAAACGAAACCCTAACACTAATCCATCGTTCCCCTCCCTCCTCCCCAAGAAAGGCCCTTCTACAGACTCTGCTATTGAAGTTCACTAAATGTAGCCTGTAGCCCTTGTCTACAGTTTAGTTTATTTTGTTTTTCTTGCTATTTCTGCGATATTTGTTTGGGTGTTTTTAATTACCAAGAAAAATCCTTGTTACTTTTGCGTTTTTTGCCACATTTGACGACGTTTCGGGGCCCTTCTTGGCTTCTCCTCTTTCTAAGTCTTGATTCTTGTTAGATTTGTTATTTTTTCCCATATTTGTCATGAGTGTTTTCAGGTAGCAAGAAAAATCCTTGTTACTTTTGCGATTTTTGCGAAATATGCGGCGGTTTGAGGCCCTTCTTGGTTTCTTTTTTTTCTAAGTCTAGAATTTTGTTAAATTTGTTATTTTAGCGATTTTTTTGGCTTCTTTCCTTTCTAAGTCTTGAATTTTGTTCAATTGTTATTTTAGCGCTTTTTGCGATTTTAGTCACGGGTGTTTTTAGCTCGCAAGAAAAATCCTTGTTATCTTTGCGATTTTTGCGATATTTGCGGACATTTCAGGGGCCTTCTTAGCTTCTTTGCTTTCTAAGTCTTC